ACTTTTAGCACTAGTTTGAGTGAAATACTCTTCACTTTCTTGACATATTACCTCTTCATGCACAGAAGTCTCTAAAGCAGATTGTGTCCTAACAGCAGTCGTTGTTTTTGTTTTTGTTCTCACCATTTCTCCTACACTTATTTGTGTCAAAGTTTCAGAAACTTCTGCAACTTCTCGAGTTATCAAATCAGGAGTAGCTTTTCTTACTTCTGTTTTCTCTAAGGGTGCTAATCTTCCTTCCCGGTACTCTGGAACAATTTCAATTATTTCTTGAACTTTCTTACCCTTTTCTATTGATACATTAGCATGTTTGGTGTCAGTTATTAATTTCTCGACCAACTCAATTTCATTCTCTTGAGGTAATCTTTCAGTTACAGTAATACTCTCTAATGTTGATTGTTCAGTTACAGCTTTCTGTGTGATTGCTTTTTTTTCATCGAGTGGTGCTATAGAGTCTTCAAGAGTGATTTCCAATTGCCCAACAGCTTCTTGGGTACCGTCAAGTACTAATTGAGCCCTATTATTTTTTGTTTCCAAAATATTTGAAAGCTTTGATTCAGTTTCACCTGGAAACACCTCTGAAATGGTTACACTGTGTCCAACTTCATAATTTATGCTAGCTCTCCTTTGTTCCACCTTTATTGGGCTTTCAAAAGTTCCTTCAGTTTCCCTTACTTCAGTTTCAGTTTGCACTAAACTTTCAAGAGTAGTATGTTTAGGAGTTACTGTAGTGGCTGATGGCTTAATTTGGTCAAGGGTACCAACACTGTGATGAAGAGTATGCTCAGTCTGCTCAGCAACTTCCAACTCAGAAATCGATGGCGATGCTCTTCTTTCTTTTGGGTTTTCATTTTGACAGAAGTAAGATTCTTTATCTTCAGATGTAGTCAATAATACATTAACACTTTGTCTCTCTTCCACAACTTCCTGCGCTATTTTAACGTCTGGTTGAAAGATTTGATCATCTTCTCTTACTGAAATTTCAGTTTGGACCTCACTTTTAACAGCTATTGCATGCCCACTTATTGTAATATTCGCACTTTTGGTTCCTGGAACATCATCGGCAGTAAAAGTGTTTTCCAAATCCCCTGATACAACTTCAACTACGGAGACAGTTTCACCGACTTGAAATGTTACCCCCGCAGATTTAGAGTCTGGTTTTAATAAATCATTGTAATCCCCCTCCTTCTCAGCAACAGAAACTTCTGACTGAATAATACTATACAACGGAATTTGATCTACTGTTGCATTTTCTTTGTTTGGGCTTTCTTTTTGAAAGTCTTCTGTTGTTAACTCTGCAACAATCTCAGATTTACTGGTTATTTCTCGGGCTGTCACACTAGCACCAGCAACACTTGTGACGGGTTTCACTGGACCAGTAAGTTCTCCCTCTTTTTCTCGGATATAAACTTCATTAACAGTAATTCCAGATTTTGCTGATTCAAAATTAGTTTCAGCTGTTTTTTCATACGGTTTAATAAATTTTTCAAGTGGTGTTTCAGACTCTGCAATGGTAGTTTGTTGAAGTGAAACACTGTGAAAAGGGGTTTGAATTGATTTTGCAAACGATTTTTCTGGAACAGATGCAACCATCTCACCCAAAGAATCTTCGGTTATAACAATTCCTTTTTGACAGGTTTCAACTGGGACAATGTTAGCTTGAGCTGTACTGGTTTCTGGGCGAATTGGTGAAGCATAAATATCTTCTTTATCTTCAGTTGTTATTTCTGTTATAATGACTCCCTTTTCTTCAACAACTCCTATATCAACAACACTTGAAGGTGGCATTTCTTTAGTTTTAAAAACACCCTCACTTTCTTGAGGAGATGCTTCTATTTGAATAATACTCTCAAAAGGTAACTGTTCTGGCTTTGCATTAGCTGTAGGGGTTACAAACTGTGGGATGTCTGTAACACCAAATGATGATAATATTTCAGTTGTTTGGGCCACTTCTTGTGTTGATATTTCTTGGAACGCGGTTACTTGGTTAGGTTTAATGAAAGAAATTAAGTTCCCTTCTTTATCATCAACATTAATTTCAGAAACCAATACTGATTTTTGCTCTTCAAAAGATTTTTGTGCTTGTTTCAAATCCATTGGAATTTTTGAATCAAAAATAGATTCCTTTTCGGAAGTAGTTACAAAACTTGTTGATATAGATTCATATGGTATTGATTCGACATTTGGAGAAACTTTGTGAGGTGTGTCTGGCTTTACTTCACCTGTAATATTTTCTGATGTAATGATGGTACTTTGTGCAACCTGTTGTGGTATTATGTCTGGTTTGGCAAAGTGATCTTCTGGTTTACTGTCTGGTATAAATTGACTGGTGTCGTCTTGGGTTGAAACTTCAAGAACTGTAATAGCCTGTGTACCTTCAATAACAAAATCAGCTTTTTTGGATTCTGGTTTGTATGGCAACTGAAAAGGAGCTTCTAGCTCATTTGTACATGGTTCTGACTGAATAATGCTGTGATGTGGAAGTTGTTCTGCATTGGCTTGGGCAGTTGTAGGAGTTATATGTTGGAATGGGTGTAAACTGCTGTCTAATACTATTTCTGTTTTTTCTGCAATTTCATGACTTGTAATATTTGGGATGGCTAATCTCTCTTTTGGTCTGTCTAGTGTTTCAAGTATGCTTTCTTTGTCTTGAATGGTTACTTCACTACTAATAGATGTTGTGTGTCCTTCTACAATATTAGGTTTAGCAGTTTTAGTCTCAGGTAGAAATTCAGCAGTATACTCACCCTCTTTTTCAATAACTGTATTTTCATTCAAAATTACACTTTCATGTGTGCTTTGTTTTATTTTGGCTTCTGAAAAGCCAGGTTTTAATAAATCTACATCTCCTACACTCATATCTACAACAACTTCTGATGTTACTGCTACATCCTGACCAGAAATATCAGGTTTTGCAAGAGCTGTCATAGGAGCTTTTGCAGTTTCAAAGGGAGATTCTTTATCTACAACATTCAATTCAGTCACACTTAAAACATTACCTTCAACAAATGAGAGAGCTGCAACTTTTTCACTAGGCTTTACAGGAGAGTCAAACTGACCCTCAAGCTCAGTTGGCACCTGTTCTGAAGACACAGCCAGTTGAATGGTGTCTTGTTTCATCTGAGCAGTTTCTTTGATTGGAGACTCTCTTGTTAATGTACCCTCTTGGAAAAGTTCAACTATTTCTTCACGTTCAGCAACTTCTTGTCCAGTTAGATTCAATGTAGCTTTTCTGCTTTCAGGAAGCTGATCACTCCTAAATACGCCTTCTTTGTCTTCTGCAACAACTTCTGAAACTAAGAAAGTTTCTCCTGGCCTAATACCTACAGTGGCGGTCTTAAGATCTGGTTTAATTGTGTCTAAAGATGTTTCAATCTCTGTTATGTTTGTTTCAGTGATGACTACTTCTTGGAATGGTGTGTTATCCACTTTGGCTTGTCCTGTTGGATGTTCTACTTTTGGAATGTTGCCTAAGTTGATTTCAGGTAAGGTTTGAGACTGAATGACGGTTTGGTGAGGTGTTATACTTTTGGATGCCTTAAAACCTAATGGACTTTCTATTGGAATGTGTTCAAGTTCTTTTCACTACTGACAATTTCTTGAACTGTCAAACCTGTTAATTCGTCTGCTAGTTCTACAATAGCTTTGGATTTAATTGGAGATCTGTCCTTTTTAAATTCCTGTTCACTTTCTGCAAGTTCAACAGCACTAACAACTATACTTTCTAATGATGTTTGGTCTGATTTTGCTACACTAGTTTTTGGTGTTTTTTGTTCAAATGAAGAAGTTGTCTGCTCTGTCAGGACTTCAGATTTAACCGCTACTGTTTGTGGTAAGTGTGATTGTGATGCAAAACACTCTTTTGGTAACTCAGGTTTAGTATACTGATTTTCTTTGTAATCCGTAATTACTTCTGTAACTGTAACACTCTGTTCCTCCAAAATATTGACATCAGCTCGCTTGCTTTCTGCTTGACAACTTCCTTTTGCTTAGCCAACCCCTCTCCAATCACCGTCTCTTCAACAATTGTTTCTTGGAACATAGTGTGTTCATAATTGGCATGAACTGTTTGGGGATGTTTCTTTGACAAGCTCCCAACATCTCCCTCTGGTGTTATTTCCTCAACTATTACTGATTGTAATGGATGGGTGGGCACTGCTTTTCCCTTATGAAGTTCAGGAGCTACATCTGGCACATAGTCACCCTCTTTCTCAACCAAGTCAGTCTGGTACACTGATATTCCTTCTTTTGACTCATACGTTTTACTTACTTCTACTGGGGTAGGAGTAGTAAAATCAGACAACGGAGTTTCGCTGTCTTGAGCTTGAACTTCTGTTATTTCTTTTGACTCTAAAGTTTGAAATTTGGGAGAGGCAGCATCAGTTCGATATTTTAAAATATCTGACAATTCCCCAGGGGCATCTTCTGACTTTATTTCAGTTATGGATAAAGGTTCTATCTCTTGAAAACTTAAATCTGCTTTGGCACCATAGGGAGTTTTACCAGGCATATAATCATCGGTCAACTCGCTGCTTATGGTTTCAGAGACACCGGAGACTTCTAAACATGTAACTGAGCTAGTAGCAGTTTGAGCTCCTGGAATTTCATTTGCTCTAAATGTTTTTTCTGATTCAGCTGTATGTGTTTCTACTGTGATAAAACTTTCTTTTTTAGTGAACTGGACATCAATGTGTTTCATTTCAGGTTTTGGTACATTAAGAACACTTTCTGTATCTTGATGCTGCACCATACTTACTACAATCCCTTCCATCAGGTCTACACCCTGGGTAGCTACAGTTTCCCCAGGTCTTTGGCCAGGGCCAAAAGGAATTTCTTTTTCATGAGCTGCTGTCTCTGAAACAACAATAGAATCTTCTGGTAATATCTGGAGCCCTGCGAACTGACCTTGAGGCAGTTTTCCAGGTTTGTACTCACCTTCTTTTTCAGGCAAAACCATTTCCTCAGTAAATGTTGTTGTTTTTTGAGTTACAATAGATGATGTTGCTGTTTCAGTTGGTACAAACATTTCCGGAAAATATTTACTCGGTTTTGTTTCTGACAGTACTTCACTAACTATTACAGGCTCTACTTCATTTATGCCAATCTTTGGTTTGATCAAATTCTGAACTGTAAAATCTTCAAGTTTTTCTTCTCTTATTGACTCTGTCACCTCTGTTACATTGATAGATTCCTGCAGAGTAAGCCCTGAACTAGCAGACACTTGCAGAGGCTTTCTTAGAGTTTCGTATTCACCTTCTTTCAAAGATGTTTCTGTCTCACTCACAACTTTAGCCTCGTGCAATAACATAGAGACAGTTGCTTTACCCTCTTCCTTTTTAATTTGTTCAGATTTTGAAACCGTTTGATCTACTCGAGTTTCGCTAACAATCAAACTTTCCTGTGGTAGAATATTTCTGGTGGCTTTGCTAGTTTTAGACTTAAACGATTTACTAAACTCCTCTGCAATCGATTCAACTTGAGGTTGCTCAACATTATATGGCTCAACAGTACTTAATTCTGGCTTAGCTTTAACTGATACTGGAATAAGTTCCTCCGGTCTGTAGTCCTCTTTCTCATTTCCTTGCACTTCATGATTTTCAATAGCAGTAAATGTTGTAACACTTACATTTCCTTTCACTCCTGCTCTAGGGACTTCCCCAATAAGACTGCAAGTAGCCTCAGGAGTAGCTTCACTTACTTGAGATGAGGTCTTTAAGGGAATAACTTTTTCAGGTTGAGTTTGAAATGAGTCCAGGCTCTCTGTGATTTCTTCAATTACAGGAGTCTCCTCCTGAGTAGGTTTCTTAGCTTTTAAAACTTTCTTCTTTTTGGTCTTTTCAACCTCCTCTTCAACAACTTCAATTTCTTCTTCTGATTTTGTTTTGACCACTTTTCTCTTTATTTTAGCTCCAGATTTAGATTTTTGCTCAACAGTAACATCTTCTTGTATATTTACTTCTTCCACCACCTTTTTAATTTCTTCAGGGTGTTGAACTATTGCCACTGAAGTCTCAGAAATCGTGGCAAGAGTTTTATCATCTTCGGTTACATCAGTTATGGTCAATTCGTCTTCTGTTGAAGATTTTGGCTGAACTCTTCTTTTGTTCTCTTCTTTGCGAATTTGTGTTTCCTCTACCAATTCTGAAATGTGTAAATTCTCTGTGAGTAATGTGAAATAATCGTCACACTGTTAGTGTTAGGTGCTGCAATGCCTGTAAGTGTTGCTAGCGACAATCGTGCAGTTTATGCGAGCGTTGCATGAGCAAGACAAGTAAAAAAGCAATGTATATATTGCAAAACTATGTAGCTTGAGCTTACAAGCAATATGCCTAGATGCTGTGTGCGCTGTAAAATGCATCTTTCTTAAATATATTTTGTGCTGTTAATAAAGCAAATATTAGCATTGAATTATGAAAACACTCAATAAATTGACAGGTTGTATGAAGAGCTACTGTCTCACATGTAATAGGTTATAGATAAAATTTTAATATTTACCGTAAGGTTATTTTGTCAAAACAAATTTGTTTAAAACAAGTTTTACATAAAAATAAGGCATGTTATAATTTAGATAAGAGGAAAATAATTGGCGTCCACCCAGTACTTAGTAACCAGAACTTAAATATGATTATTACTGAATGATTTGTAAATTTAATATTACAATACGATAGTATCTCATGTTAAAAAATATTTTGTTCAAACACCTTTTCATCATTTTTTTAAGGGATGGGATGAAATCAAAATTTTGGTTTTATTGCACAAGTTTTCAGTGGCAATTTTAGATTTTCATTTTTGCTGATTTAAGATTTTTTTATTCTTCAAACTCTTAATTTGAATATTTAGACAACATTTCCTGAAGCAAGTAAATGGATTAACTCACAAAACCCCATAATAATTATATTCTGAGTAAATGTTTCTGTAAATGTAAAAGTTTCTTGGTACTGAGACTTATCGCATACCAGAGGGTACATTGGCGTACCTCTTGAAATTATCATAAGCACGTAAATATGTTTGTGTGTGTATTTTAACAATGTAGATAACAAATAAATCCCTTTAACCTTTGCTATTGTAACAACATGTTCGCTAAACCCAATGTTTCAAGTTATCAGTTATTTGATTAAAGAGAACATAAAATAAATTCTGACTACACACTAGGTGGGGCCACTACCTTGTAGTTTTAACATAAATTAACTTAAGATAAATTAGCAAAAATAGAAGTTTGAGATCTTTTTTTAAATCTTTAGACCACAGAAGTTTTGATTTAGAAACATAAGTCATAAATCTGAAACCAAAATTCTTTATTATATTATGGACTTTGAAAACAGTAATATCAGTTACCGTAACACAAATACATACATACCATCTCTATGTACGTAATTGTATCAACATGGAACCATTAAACCCTTACTATTTATGTCAAGTGCTACAGGTTCCAATTATACTTTAAACAAAGAACATATTTTTGATTGGACTTTTAAAATTATCAATGGAAAATTTTAAAATTACTTTAAGTTAAAAACTTGCAACACAATTTATTTTAGTTTAAAAGATTCCGTTGTTTGGTTTTTACTTTATTGAACTTTTATATGTCAGCATTACAATTTAATTAACTAATCCATTTAACATGACAGTTACATACAAGTTAAAAAGTTTTAGTTGGTTGGTTCTTTTAATATTTTTAAATTCTTCTAAAATAAATTAACATTATTAAAACAAACTGTATAATGAAACAAATATTCATCACAAATAGGAAAGTTATCTGCTGTTATAATGGTAAATTCACAATAATAATAATGTAGCCATTCAATTAAAAAGCAAGAAATACTTACCTTGTTAAAGCATTTTGAGATTAATTATCAAGCCAAAGCCATTGTTACAGCTGGAAAAGGCTTGAAGCGGTTGTTAAGCGTAACTAAAAGCCAAAACCAACAAGCATCGGAAGCTTCAAATGAAAGCAAAAAAGCTACACAAATAGTAAATAAATAAATATTTTCAAACATACAAGTGCAGTGGACAGGCAAAAGGAAGAAACCTCGTTTTAAATATATAAAAAGTAATTACTTTAAGATTATTAGAAAAATACCATCTATCACCTTGAGAAAGCAACAGAAGTCTTGATACAATTGAAAAAATTCCTTCGTGGGTTGGTATAAAAAATGCATCTTATTACATGTGATTGGGAACATATTATTTATGGAGCTGAGATCATATATAAATTTAGATGATCTAATGTTTAAACTACTTACAAATACTAAATGCAAATATATAATTGACTAAACTGACAAGAGTTAATCTATGCATTCTAAAATTAAAAGCAATATCAAGACATTGATTTTATTAATGTATGCCAAAAAAAGAGCACTGTTCAAACAATTTGAAAAAAATATACATTCTTACAGATGCATTATACTGAAAAAAGGTAATAATAGAAATGGAGGATTATATCATTGTCAAAAACATGTAAATAAAAAAGTAACTTAATTTATAAACGAATTTGGATTGTCACTAAAAGGGGCCTATTCCTAACATTAATGTGTGGTGTATTAACCTCCCTCAAAACTAAATTCCCATTTGACAATTGCCTAAATATTTCAAGGAACATATTTTGCTCATCGTTCATATTTGTGTGATATAAAGATATATTTTGTAGCTTTTCACTAATAAAAACAATATTTTATCATTTGCTTAGAATGCTATCTGTAAAAAAAAGATTACTGTGAGCTTATTTTACCAAAAACAAAATATTAATTATTTAAACAAAAAACTTGTTTAGAGGATTATTACTTAAAATATTCTTCAAAATATGAAAAGTGTGTATATAAAACCTGTAGATTTTGTTAACAATTAATTTGCCAATGAACATCAAATTGCACTCTACTTTAAAGCTCATTTAAATAGCAGATTCTTAAACAATAAAGGGAATTTTCCATGCCTGAAATATACACAGTCTTGCCTTAAAGCCCTTTAATACTGAAAAAATGTCAACAAAAATATATTTATTGAATGACAAAGTTGTTGAAAAAAACAACTACACAAAAATAAACTGAAAAATAAACTCTATAATTCACTGGAACACTCCATTTTCTTTTGGAAATAAATCGTCTTTACACTTAAAATTTAAAAACTCAACAACTAAACAAAAATAATCAATAAAGTTAAAATGTATGAATACAGCTTGTCCACTTCAACATTGCAAATGTACAGCTTTTGTTAATTTTAATATTTCACTTCAAAACAAAACACTTTAGCTTAATCTTAAAGAGTATTTATTAAGAGTCATTAGAGTTATCAATGTTATGAGTCTACTCGTTCTATGAACACACCTTGTTCTTCTTCACGAGTCACTTCTGTTGTCTTCCTAGTCACCTGCCTTTTTACTTCTGGAAAAAATGCATATAAAACACATCAAACAAAATCTCAAATTTCAAGTACAAACAAGTTGAATATTTTACTCTTATGAAACTTTTTTTTAGGTTGGACACATTTTACGACCTATGAAAGGGAAAAGTCCAAACCCACGTTTTTTCTCTTTCTATGTCAAAATAATATTCACTTATCTTTTTCTCACCAATTGATCGGATGTAGATACTAGATAACTAAATCGATATTTAGGAAAATCTTTAATATTCATTTTGGTACACTGTTAGTAAATTTCAAAGTGAACAGTGCTGATAGGGACAAAACCTAGGCACTTGAGTTATCAATTGAAATTTACTAGCTACTATAATATTTTAAGTTTAGAATATTGCCTGTAGGGTATAACAACAACAAAAACGATTAACAACAACAAAATATTTTAAAACAGTTCCTATTCTGAGCCTTCAAATAATATTTGGTTTTGTATGAGTAAACAAATATTGGAGGGAATTTTTAAAAAACCTATTCTGTATTGGGAAAACTAGTTTTGATACAATAATTCCTAAGTTTATAGGATTGTCCTAATTATCAAAGCAACTTCAGATTGATTTGATGAAATTTGCTAGATATTTAACGCTTATGCAAAATATCCGATAGCATAGAACCTATAAATAAGATATTACTTACCTTGAGTTTGTACTTTTGTGACAGTGGCTGTGTGAGTAACAGATGACTCTTCTACCACCACCTGGAATACCCGACAAACATCAAACATTTGTATAAAGAAAATACTATTCTATGGAGGCTTCAAAGAGGCCGTCTCAGTTCTCAATAGATTAAATATCTATCACTTGCAACAAGCAAAGAGGAGTTTGAAGCCAGACCACCATCACCAGACCCAGTTATTTCATAATAAGATATGTTGAATGTTCCACAAAGAAGTTCATTTTTATGTATTTTCTTTTACTCTCTCGTTCTTTGAAGCTATTTTTTGAAACTGTAGGGAATTTAAACAGAATTTACTAAAAATCTAAAACAAAATATCGACACGTAAATGTACACATAAATTTTACCTGAAATATTAATTTTCCACGGTAATGTACACTTATAAATACATAAAATGCTATAGAAAAAAAGGATTAAATTTAACCCGAAACATTTTTTTATATTCAATTCAGTACTACTACTAATTCTATTAAGTAAAAAAAAGTCAGAAATGAGCAAGTAACAAAAGTAGTTAACCTCTTCGTGTGACAGCCTCATTTTGAAGGAATCGTAAAATAGTTTTGAAAAACACTGTACTGATTAATGACACTTTTTACATAAAAAAATTTCATATATTATACGTTTCCAAAAATAATCACCCTGTAATTTTATAAGATACCACCAAAACATCATATGGCAAATGCATAAAGTTACATCATACACTGTTCCAGATGTACCTGAGAAGTGTGAGTTTCCCACGACTGCGTCTGAAAGTCTTGAGGGGAGAACAGTGTGAGAACCTCTTCAATAGTTGTGTGCTTGAGCTCAATCATCCGGAGGAAAGCACGGAACACACCCACGAGCGTCTGCTCCATCGTCGACTCGGTTGTGAGAGTTTCCGAGATGAGCGCACTGTGACCCTCGCGCTCCACAAGAGTCACCATCGCTGACTGTGCCGGGGCTGTACGCAGCGCTGGGAACTGGTCTGCCGAGTATTGGGCGACCACCTATCAAATAATTTAAGCTTCAGGCTTTACTGTAAACTCTAAAATAAATAAGAGACAATAAAACAATGTAGCACAGGCTTTAAGTGACTGAAAGATCGTCTTATTACAAACTTAAGCCTCTTTTGTGTCCTATCAATAACCGATCACAACAACAAGGAGAAAATAGAATTTTAGACAGTACCACAATTCGTGAGTGCTTCATTCATTCGATTAAGTTCTATAAGAATGAACAGTTGGTTACAGCAGTCCATACGGATGGGGCTTCAGTATTCAAAACTCAATGCCAAAAGCTTTCAGGCCCTTTATACAGTACCGTTTTAAAATGACATGTTTTTAGGCGAGGTGTTAAATATAATATATTCAATATATTAATAATATTCATTTATGAAGATTGTTTGTGGGCTTCACCCACCTTTATTTTTGCCTAATGATGTCAAGGACTCGTCATAACACACACATATATACACGACACTCAAATGGCATCAAAGTCTGACATTTCATGGAAACCTTAGACAAGTCGTGCTTAGACGTTCTACCTGCATGTGGGATAGAAATAGTTTTTTCCTCACCCTGAGAAAGCGGAAAGTGTTTTTTGAGTTCCGCGACACGCTTTGAAGCCATATGACGAGTCCTGGATATCACTATACATAAATAAAGGTGAGGGAAGCCCACAAAACAATCTTCATTAACATTATACAGTAATTATGTGGCACCGTTTGACCCAGAACACCACAATAATCAAGTGTGGCCAAGAAACATATGTAAGCCTTAATTTGGAATTAAAACAAAGCGTTTTGATTCCCTGCACAACATAATGTTTAACATTAGAACAGAAGTTAGGGGAAACTATCAGAATCAGAGTAAGCGTAGGACGATTACCTCGTCCACAGTCATGCCATGCCTCAGCAGCAGTCCCACGGTCGCCAGCTCTCTGAGTGGACTCTCTGCAGGTCCAAACTCAGCCACATTGACAAACTGCAACACTTCAGACACCTCAGCTGCGGGGATCAGCTCCCTCGCTTCTGTCTTCCTAGCCTTCTTCTTAGTTACTTTCTTCTCGGTGATCTCTTGTACAACTGCTTGCGGCTGAGTCTATGAGACAAAATAGTGCTTACACCAACTGTGACACTGATAGTTTGTTAGCTACTTATAAAAAAAAAAACTGAGTTATTAAGTAAAAAACATGAGCTGTGAAAGTGAAAAGGGTATGAAAAAGAAAAGCATTTGCAAATCAATGAGATTTACATATTTAAAGTGAAAAATTGACTGCAACATTTTGTTCCTTGAACTGAATAGAGTAATCTTGAAAGTATAAAACAGTTAAACAAGAAAAGCATGCGTGTTTCACACACCACGTAATGTGTTCATTGTTTTTAAATGGTTAATGGAACTGCAAGAAATCAAAAAATGATAAATGCATGAACAGAAATTTTAGTGAATGATTGAAAGTGATAACATTCTGTCAGTCTGATGTATTACCAACAATTTTGGCAATCTGCCACAATTTTCATCATACTGGGTTTAAAAATAGAGACCATAGTGTGTTCCTTTTGTAACTATAAATTGTTAATCCCGCCTATTTCATGCATACAAAAACAATTTGAGCGCTAACAAATGTGATTGGAATCTAAACCTCACTGTAAATGTTTTTACACATTTAAAGCGAAAGATAGTTGAAGAACCACAAACATTCATCACATTGGCTGAATTTACGCCAAGTTGAGTCATGCTGCTTGCACTGCAATAGTCTGACTGTGTACATAAAGTAAAACCAAATCTGGATCGAATTGTAGGCAGTAGCTAATTATATCAGCAGATATGAACTTATTTCGATTAAATTATAAACATTTAGAGTCTTTGGTAATGAAAATGCTGATGAGAATATGATGATGTGAAACATGAAACTGTATATACAATGATACATCGGAGGATATTTACAGAATCTTTTGTAACACATTCCATAATATAAATTGGATAGAAAACTCACATTGTACATCGACTTCTGATAATTCTACTCACAGACAGTACAGTATGAAAGCTAAGGTGGCACAGGCCTATATTCTATCCAGATTCATGGTGCACTATATCTAACGTTGCCGACATGCACCACGTGACTCGCTCATGCCTCTGAGCAGCACCAACCTCACTGACGACCATGTCCTGTACCGAGGTGATCGTTTGTGCCTCATAAACTTCTTCCTCTCTCTCAAACTCCTGCACCTGCACTGACTCTTGTATGGTTACTTTTTTCTTCCCCTTAACCTTTTTGTACTCCTCCTGAGCCACTACTCCGGTACCAACCTCCGTCACAGTTACGGACTCCTGTGGTGTTGTCACCACTTTGGCCACCTCAGGTTTCTCGGTGAACGCCAAATCATCCGGCACTTTCTTCGAGGACGCCACAGCAGACACTTGTACTGACTCTTGAATGTCTTGTTTCATTGTCGCTTTTGCCTGAAAAGTTTAAAAATGTACAACAATACTCTGTACGTTTTGTGCCAATAAATATAATTCATTCATTCATTTATCATTCAAACAATCTCATCAGTTTGACAACAATCTTAAGGTTTCAGAAGTTAATCTCGCATTACAAAAACTACTCTATGGGTGTTAGAAAAGCTTGAATAGGATTTAAGCATATATTTTATTTATTAGTAAACTTAAGTAAAGTTCTCTTTTACATATTAACTCAAGTAACTTTCAGAATAGTTTTGATTTTATTTTTGATTTATTTATTTTTTATTAATTTATAATTTTAATAGAAAGGTTGTATTCCCTTAAAAGTAAATTCTTTGATTCTAGACTTTATAATAAACCGTTTCACAGTTTGAACAAGGTAAACTATTATTTATCATCTGAAATGAATGCAAATAATTTCTAATAGGTAGCCTACAGTAATGGTCATATGCTGCGAAGATTGACTTACCGATTCTGAAGTTTCTACAAATGTGGTTGTACTCTCCAATGGTTGTTGTTCTTCCTGCTGAACAGACTCCCTAAAAACGTAAAAACTTGTTACTTGACAACCAATGTGTGTTTTAATAATATGTATGATTAAGTAGTACCTTTGACGATTTAAACAATTAGAGATTCCATCCCCATGTTAAAATTGTTGCCAGTTCAATAAAAATCATTGTAGTTGATGAGAGCCACTGACAAATTGTGCTGATATGGATAATTACAAATTGCTGTTGAATACACAAACTTGTTGGAATGACTTATTGTGAGCTATAGCAACTGTTATGACTCATCAATATTTTATCACCTAAAAAAAGGTAGAAAATCAAATTTTATACACTAGCACATTCTATAACTGGCTTACACGACTATGTTCTTTTTTAAATAAAAAAAACTAGTGACAATGGTCTATATAGATGGGATGTCTACTTCAGTATTAAATTGTCAATGGTAGTACTTAATAATATTATTTATTATTGCTCATGGTGAATAAGGGACTGAAACATTTAACCACAATGAGCATCAACTAAAAAAATTAGGGATTGAGTGCTAGACAAAAATTGTCAGCCAACCATTACAAAAATCATCATTGCGTTCACAGTGGTGATGTCTAGAAATTCTTCTGCAATTATGTGAGTAGATATGATTTTTGCCCGAATTGTGGGAGTAAAATCAGATAACTACTGATATTGCAGCTTGAAGCCTAGATATCAGGCATCAATAACTACTGATATCACTACCTTTATTGATTAAAAAACAAATGTTTTAACATAATAACTAGTTCATTTACTTCTCAGGCTTGATCACTTCAGCTCGCTTCTGCTGAACCTTCTTCTTCATGATCTTAGCCTGTTCCAGCCTGATCTTCTCCATTTCCTCGTGTGCTGACTTGATTTCCTGTTCCTTCCGTTGTTCAGTAGTCAGGCCTGAAAGTATTCAAATATTAATTATTTGTGAAATTTTTTCATTGCAAAAACGTTTATAGTACAGGACTTGACTCAAAGCCACCACCATTGTTTAAATAAAAGCCACCATGGTTTAAATAAGAAGTGAAAACTAAGTTTTTCTCAAAATTCCTGTTAAATTTTAAACAAGTAAACTATGTTAAAAAGTAGAGGAAAGACATAGTTTTAAGATGTATACAATAAAAATGATTGTTTCTATTTCTGTGTTTTATTTATAGAAAACCGGAGGTTTATTTCCAAACAGCCCTCGTAGTATAGTGAGCTAGTTCCAGTGGCAGTCACATGGGAAGTGTAGGAATAGTGGGAAAATAACACAACTTCTACTTGTTTATACTTTTGAATATGGCAATTAGATTTTTCATACATTGAAGAAATGGAACATTTATTACTTACTAAGTTTTGTGGATGTAACATTAGATCGAGCTAGTATGATATAGCTGAGGAACTATAGTAGCTGAATGGATTTCGAGCTTGCATGGTAATGAGAAGGTTGCTGGCGTGATACTGAATCAGAAGCTTTTTGATGGTTCAAAACCGGACCCAGCTGTAATTGATCTGTGGGCTTATAAATGGTCCTGACTAAAGAGAACCAGTACTTATTTTTTACACATTTCTCCTTAAAATATGCCCCCTTTACCAGTGTAACCAATTGAATCACATCTAAACTATGGTTGAGGGTGTTTTTCAATGAATGGTTTTTAATGGTTTTTAACATGAATGGTTACAATGTTTGGTTTGGATAACTAGTAATACTTCTCAATCTCACTGACCTGTGTAGGACAGTGTAGCTTTGGTCACAGCCAACCCTGCCTCACTAGTGACCTTGCAAACGTACTTTCCTGCATCTTCTTCTGTTACTTTCTTGATAGTAACAATCGTTCTGTTCTCTTTAATTGTCACCTTGACATTTTTGGTGTTTCTGATAATCTTGTCATTATGGTACCAAATAACATCTAGAATCAGTGGTCTATGATTAGAATTTGATGCAACAAGAGTACTAGAGTGCTAGAGGCACACTGAGACAAAACAATAACAAAAGAAGGCATGGAGGGGACCCCTACAACAACACATACACACAACAAATCAAATATTCTTTTCTAAATTTGTTTTGATTCACAACAAATTATAATACACATAAAAATAATTGTAGACGTTGGTTGAGTAAAAGGCATTACCCAAGATACTTTTAGAAAAATTTACTGTACATGAAATAAAGGAAAATTTTAAATTTCAATCATGCCAATTCATTCTTGGCAACGTGTACAAATACTTAGGAACACTGAGAAAGTCATAATCATATTCATAATTAAATGCAATGTACAGTATACCGAATTGAAATCCACCATGTACATGATATAGCAAAATAGATGTTTACCTGGAGTTGGAGTTCCAGCAAACACTGCCTCAAACTTGACGGTTTCCATTTCTCGAGCTCGTATATCTGTGATTTCTTGGATAAATGTGGGGGCACTCAGGGCAGCTGTAAAACAATACAAAGATGACATAAAACCTTTGAACTCATTGACCTAAGTAATATCATTGACTATTGGATACTGAAGTAGACTTCCCATCTATATGGACCAGCTCTAGACAATTTTTTATTAAAAAAGAACGTAATTGTGTGAGCCAGTAACAGAATGCACTAGTGTATAAAAATTATATTTTATACCTTATTTTTTGTTGCTGACCAGGTTGATGTGTCATAACAGTTGCTATAACTCATCATAAGTCATTCCCTAAGTTTGACTTGGTAAAAAAGTTTGTGTATTTTACAGAACTTAGTAATTTAGATCAGCGAAATCTGTAGGTGGCTCACATCAACTACAAAGATTTTGATAAAAAATCTGGCTAGACATTCCATCCCCATGTTAAAGTTGTAGCATTATAATACCTTGCACTAAAATTTCAAGATGTCATTTCAAAGGTTTTAACCAGCATTTCAATATTGGTGGTAAATAAGTACCGAATATTGAAATATGTATAGCAAACATTGTCATTTGTACCATCAAAATTTACGGGGGTAAACGGTAGGATGGTGGATTTGCGTCATAAGACTTAGGGGGGGGGGATGGGCACCCCTGACAAGAATGAACTATCCTGAAATGTTTTAGGTGGTGGCATTGTGAACTCTGAACTCGCTTTTTTTGTTTCACAATCTTGTCACACTACCGAATGAGTCACTGGCCTACCAAGCAAGCACAAATCACTAGTAAATCTTTTACCAATACACAGTTACAATACAATAATAATAAATAAGTACTATCCAAGCAATCCAGGAGTCAATAAAATGTTTCCTCATAGAATTTCTCTAAGTTTATATCACAACAACTCACCTTAAATAATATGACTAGAAAATGTTTCTTTGGTAGTTGGGTGAAGACTGCTGGTCATTGGTCTAGTGAACAAACAGTTAGCAAACTTAATGTTAAGAGCATAAAACCAAAACAAACAAACAAAGCAAAACATCACAACAACAACATCACAACAAACGGATAAATCAACTAGACTGGCATAGGAAAGACATTTTTCTTGAAAAAACTCACTAGAGTAATCTTACTAATATTATAAATCTGAAAGTTTGTGAGTTTGTGTGTATGTTTGTGTGTATGTTTGTGTGTGTGTTTGTGTGTGTGTTGCTCAATCACGCATAAACTACTAGACGGATTGGGCTGAAATTTGGCATGATGATAGCTCACATTCCCGATTAACATTAAAGCATATTCTTATCTCAAAAATCCTTTCGGGCTCCGCCCCAGTGGCTCTGTAGTTCCCCATGTTAACCTTATGATTTTTCATATTTAAAAGGAATTAATGAATCTTAACAGCTGTTTCAATTAAACAAGTTGGTTCTGTTCTATGATGTTCAATAGCAAGTTACAAGGATTACCAACAGGGTGCAGCACTATTATTTTTTTTAATTTATGACAACAGCTAATTTCCAACCAAAAGGTGAGTGAGCGTAGCGAACGAACTTCAACCTGGAGGCGAGTTAGCGTAGCGAACGAGCTAACCTGAAGGCAAGTGAGCGCAGCTTACGAGCTCCAACCTAAAGGTGAGTGAGCGTAGCGAACGAACTTCAACCAGGACGTGAATGAGCCATGCGAATACTTATGAAGTTAAACGGGGCAAAGCCCGCGGGTACAGCTAGTCATAAAATAAAAATAAAAATCTTGGTGTTATAAAAGTAGTTAGTATATAAATAAATAAATCTACATAAAGGGTCAGGTCTTTAAATGAATTAATTAGTTTTGCTTGTAAAAGGTATATTCATATTGTTAATAAAAAAATAAAAAAATAAATGTTTAAAATTTATAGAATATTCTAAATCTACAAAGTCTGGAAGAAACTACTAAAACCAATTTCATTTGTGTGTCCAAAACCTAAAGTATTCTTTTATAGTGTTCTTTTATGTATGCTTCTTTTTGCATACATCTTCTAATTTAACTGGTAAAAGCTTCTAACTCAATATATTTTAACGTGATTTATTAAAATATCACTGAAACTATAAAAAAATATACCCAAATCAAAAGTTATATAATACTATTTAAAACAAAAATGTAACTGCTTTATGTTGATCTAGAAGCCATGAAAATAGACAGAATTTTAAGTAAACGTAAATAAAAGATGTCTACTATTAAGATTTTTAAATTAATATTTTCTGTAAAAAATTATCAGAAAAGTGCGTAGTTTATCTGATGTTTAAGGGTGTTTGGTCGCAAATTTTCATGTCTGATTTTTTGTTATTGTTTAATTGTACTAAAAATTAGAGATACAAATATATAAGAAAAAATGTTTTATTTTGAATATTAAGCGAGATATGGAGCTTGAAAGTAGTAATTTTTTAATCTTTGGTACCAGTTCACAGGGAGAATGGGTAATGCGATTCTCACCAAAATTTGCATTCAGGTGTGGAAAAATAAGATAATAATCACTAGCTATTTAAAATTAAAAAATTAAAAAAAAAAATTATTTTTTATTTTTTATAAATTTTTTAAAAATTTTTAAAAAAAATTTAAAAATAGCTCTTTGTTTTTGGGAAAAATGTATCTGTATGTTGGAATAAAAAAAAATGTGATATGTTAACTCGTTTGGGCTGTGAATTCGTACCTTTGATGCCTTGCGCTGTCGGAGCACTACTCGTTGAGAGTTTGTACACTAACACCGGGGTTTTAGAATACTTTAACATCACGTAATTATTAACATCCTTTAACATTGAAAGAATACGTTTATCGTTGTATTCTAAAGCCCCGGTGTTAGTGTACACACTCTCAACGAGTAGTGCTCCGACAGCACAAGGCATCAAAGGTACGAATTCACAGCCCAAACGAGTTAACATATCACATTTTTTTTTATTCCAACATACAGATACATTTTTCCCAAAAACAAAGAGCTATTTTTAAATTTTTTTAAAATTTTTTTTTAATTTTTTTAAAAATTTATAAAAAATAAAAAATAAATTTTTTTAAATTTTTTTATTTTAAATAGCTAGTGATTATTATCTTATTTTTCCACACCTGAATGCAAATTTTGGTGAGAAACGCATTACCCATTCTCCCTGTGAACTGGTACCAAAGATTAAAAATTTACTACTTTCAAGCTCCATATCTCGCTTAATATTCAAAATAAATAATTTTTTCTTTTATATTTGTATCTCTAATTTTTAGTACAATTGAACAATAACAAAAAATAATACATCAAATTTTTGACCAAACACCCTTAAGGACAATTCTTTAAACTTCACTCGAAACAATCACTAAATAAATTATGAGACTGGGTTAATGCACTGTGACTTTTGTGATCCCATCCATACTGCAACCTACAAAAATAAATAACTTTTATAGCTTTCTATTAATAAAGCTACTTTTTGATTCCCTACTTTAATAAGCGATTCTAATGACCCTTGATTGAAATTGGTGACTTTTTTAACCCCCTACTAAAATCTGTGATTTCTGTAGCTCTCTACTTAAAATTAACTTTTGTAACCCCCTACTGAAATCAGTGCCTTCAGTGACCATTAGCCACCTCGAGGGTAGTGTGTTAGTACCTGAGAGGAAGGCATGCGCAAGGCCAGTATCAACAGACATGCATTGACTCTCCAGCAACAGGAACTCCTGCAGTTCTTCACAACTGTCAGCTGTATGCAGCTGATGAAATGTGTCCGGGTCCAGCTCCCGGGGCTCCAGAGGGAAGGGGAACATTGAGTGGTGTGCCGGGCGGGAGAGCGTGGCTCGAGGGAACGACTGCGACCTAGCCCTGGGGAACTCCGCGGTGAACGTGGCCAAGTTCTGACACGACGAGGACATCTGCCGCTCCGACTCACTGCTAGAGGGTTCACTGAGCTCTGTGATGGGAGGGAGTAGGTAGAAACTCCCTCCTGGGAGTGACGGTTCCATCTCTTCCTCGTCCTCGTACGTGTTATCACACTCTCGCACAACCACATGCTCTAGACTGTCCAATGACAACGTGCGCTCTTTACCTTGTAGCTGGGTCTTCATCTCCTCCATGTGTGTAACCCACTCAGGCTTCCTGTACTCCTTAGTGCCAAGGATACCTATAGCATCACACAACAACAGTTGTAGCATCGATCAATATCTTCAGCATACATATTCTAATTAAAAAATTAATTTATTCAACATTTCTTCAAGATCAAAACTTTCAGCAGGCTACACAATTATTTCAGAATCAACAAGAACTATTTCAGGATCAAAGACAATTATTTAGTATAAATAAAAATTATTTCAGAATCGATAACATTTATTTTTGAATCAATCAAAGTTATTTCAGAATCAATTAAAATTATATTTTTATTATTTTTAATCAAAATCAGATTCAATTAAATTTATTTTGAGTTAAAATAATACTGTTTTCTATAGAAAAAAATATTTTTAGCCTGAAAGTTATCAAGAATATAACTCTAAATAACTCGTATCTATAAAGCTGAAAAAAAAAAACATTATTAATAAAATGCAAATTTAAACTGCATGTATAATTTCTTAGATTTAAATATGAACAATAATAATCACCTTAACAATGGATTAATATATTTTGACAGTGGAATGAATGTTAATGAAGCTGTTATGTTTGCGTGTAGGGAAAATTTGGTAGGGGCAAACTATTGTATAAAGGGCAAGAAGAATTCCAGTCTGCGAAAGCTGAAAAAAACCACCACCTCACTGAAAAAAAGCAAGAGTTATCAGCAAAACAAGAAATCCCTTCAAATCCAAACTCAAAAAGCTAGGAATGAAACTATTGATATTTTAAGCATTTTAACTGTGGTAAAATTGTATGTTACATTTTACCTAAGAGTAATAAATACATACTTTTAAGTATATATATACTCTGAGATTTTACAAAAGCAAAAACTATACATATAGTGATCTATGGTGTTATCAAGATTTAAGCTAAAGAAATAATTAGAACAGCAAAGTTGCAAGAAGAATTTTAAGGGTAGGTAGAAAATAACCACGACTGAATCTACCTGAATATTAATTAAGTACTAAGTACTTTGTAATGCCTAATTAAATTTAAAAGTTAAAATGGGTTTTAATTTTTATGTTATACTATTTAATTACATTTATTTCTTACAGTACCTATAGAGTAAATCTTTTACTTGTTTTAGCACTATGTAAGTAAATCCATAAGAAAAGTAAACAATTTAATTAATGAGTTAAAGTGTTTGAAAATAAAATATTTTATTATTCAAACTTAACTATAACTTTAGATCAAATGATTACACTTGGAAAGAACCGAACTAAGCTGGCACGTTAAAAACATCTTCTTAAATAACTACACACTTGTAATACTATTTAGTTAATTTTCAGTAGTAAATTATAGTAAAATTCAATTAAACAATTTATCTATCGCAATTTATAGAGAATATTCAAACAAACACAGTTTATAAATTTTTAATCTACTCACTGAGAACATTAAACTAAGGAACTGTCTTTCCTGTACAATCCACGGCATTTTAAACTATTTATTATTTTAAGTCCACAAGTGACGAATTTCACTACGCTTAAACCAGCTCCAAAGCATCTAGTCACATTCCTATATTATACTCTTTTAAATCCTCAAGCAATGAAATTTTCACGGCCTTCACTACGCTTAAGTCAACTTCAAAGCATCTATAAACTTTTTGCTACATCAAACGCTAATTTTTTTTTAAATCCTCAAGCAATGAATTCAGCATGACATTTCCTAAGCTTTAACTGACTCCCAAGCATCTAGTTGTCTGTTTACAAGTGAAGCTTGGGTGCGTATCAGTACCTGCTACTTGCAGCACAGTCGTTGTTGTAGCTACACCCAGCTCATTGTGAGCTTCGCAGACAATCTCGCCTGCGTCGTCCGGGTACACCTCCGTCACAGTCAGTACGCTAGAGTCATCCTCCAGGTACTCTATCTGGAACTCCTCACAAGGGATGATCTCAATACCCTGCTTGTACCATCGCATCTGAGGCGTTGGTGTGCCTTCCACTTTCACTTCCAGCCTGTAAAGCACAGTCAATGGGTATGTGGTGATTCATGAAAACGTTTACTAGTTGTGGAACAATATTCAAAGTTGGATAAAAATGTGATGAAAAACAATCAAAACTCCTGATGTACTCCTGATGTAACTCTTGCAGAAGTTTTTAATTAGAGGAGTGTAAATTGAATAAAACACTATCCATTTTTAAGTGGAATTTCTGAAGGACTTAAAATAGTTTTACAATATGAAATATGGCCTACTTCAAATTCTTTTTCTGTCGTTTACTTTATTTTGAATCAATAAAAGTAAAATAAATATTCCAGTTTAATTAACTTTCAATAACCTAAATACACTTTCACTCTCATACTATCTTATACATAAAAAGTAGATATCTGTTGATACAAATAATGAAAATTCAATAGGACTTACTATAGCCTCATCATGCAATTATGCAGGAATAAGATAATAAGCTATAATCCTTGTTCATACCTATTGAAATGATGCAAAATACATTTTTGAAATTTTTTGTTTAGTTAGTTACCTCAATAGTTCTCCTTCTCTAGCTTGTACCTCCTCTGGTAAAGGTGTTACAAAGTAAGGAGCGCTTCCCAGATCCTCAGGCTTTTCTTCTGATACTTCAGACAAAATGTCCTGCAATGAAATGGTCTGTTAAGAATCAATTTAATCAGCAACGACCTAACAGGTTCTAATTGGTTATTCGTTAATCAATGTAAATACAAATATTTTTTTTTTTACTAGCCTATTAGGTATGTGAATAGTATAACAACTCCTAAAGGGCCTATCTGGTCCAATGGCTTGACCATAGATCAGCCCTGACCTGGATGAAGCTTCACATTAAATTACTCATAATTTATGGACTCGCCAATAATTGACATTTATTGTTGAAGAACGTACCTTGTCAGCCAACAGGTCTTCCTCCGAGCCGCTCTGCCCAGTGAGCAGGGAAGTTGCTACAGTGATTGATGCGATTTCAGAGTCCGGCACATACTCATATGCTGGAAAAAAGATATAATTATTCAACTTCTTCAATCAGAAAAACACTATGTGACAAGATTGTTGGGGGATAATTGGGATTCATGCTGGCTTAGGGGTAAGCGTCTCAGACTCAGGTGTAAGAATGTAGCAAACAAATTGCGGGGGTCGAGAGCCTGAAGTTTCAAAATTAGTTAACTTTATTTAATGTAATTTTATTTTATTTTTAAAGCAAGCCCACTAACAATATTATAAAAGATTTTTTTTGTATTGTGAAATAATTGGCCCACTGACAATTATGATTTTAATTATTGATTATGTCGTAAAGAGACTTGTTAACCAAACTAAACTTTTTGTTAATTAAAACGTTAGTTGTTTAAAAGAACAAATTTTTGTAAATCAAAGCAACTTTTATGTCATTAATGAAGAGAATACTGAAAACTAAGACAGGAAATAGAGTTTTGATACTAGCTCAATCTATGAATGGCTCATTCAACTATGAACTACAACTGGTACATGTAGATGGAATGTCTACTTCAACAATCCATTAATGAGTAAATACTTAAACTCACCTTCAACAACCAGGGCCGTAGCACACACAGCCTCGCCTACAGGGTTGGTAGCCCTGCATGAGTAGACACCGGCATCCTCTGGGAACACTTCTGTAATGGCCAGTTTGCACAGACCTTCCGAGTCCTGATACATGGACACCTGCTTGCCTTCCTTCATCGGTTGCCCGTTGTGGTACCACGTGACCACCGGCACTGGTTTGCCAATAACCTGCAACCCAGAAATTACTCTGTCAATAACCTGTTTTTGTTCTTGAAACATAGAAAGGCTAGGCCTATTCAGAAATGCCTCTAAAATATTTGTGGAAGTCATCAAGGAAAGCAAAGTGAACTGGAACAGTAAAATTGCAGGTATTTATAAAAGTCAGTGGAATCACTGGAATGTGAACTCACTGAACTACCGCGATGGCTCTAAAATCTACTGATCTTACGTTAGAGTATCCTTTAATAGTAATGTGACAGTGAATATTTATTACTAAACCACACCATCAAAACTGTCTTTATAACAAAACTACTGACTTTTATTTAAGAATTAAAATTATAAGGTGTTTAAGTTCAAAATGTATACACATTTACATTTTCATGCTGTAATTTACTTTCCATGGCTCAACATATACAATAAAGTGTATATTGTATTATTGTGTTCTACACACAAGAAATTTTATTGTAATCTCAACTTGTGTCATATCATGTCATGTCATATCACCTCTAGCTCAACTGCTACAGAATCCTACATAAAGAATATTACTCAATTATTATGCCAATTATTCAATGGAATACTCGATTGTAATACAAGTCTGACTATGGTTAAATCGGAATAATTTTTTTTTAAACACCTTTTCTCCAGCCATACTAAATTGTGAATACAGAAGAGTACACCTCACCTTAGCCACAAACTCTGTGGGTTCGCCGTCCATGACTTTGGCACGTTGTGGCGTGACTGTGAACACCGGTGACTGTAGTTCCGCAGCAGTCTCCGTGGCAGGTGTGACACTCAGTGTGGCACTGCATGTCACAGAGCCTGCAACGTTCTCTGCGCGACAAGTGTAGTCTCCTGCACTCTCAGACAGAGCTGCTGGCAACATCAACACTGACTTGTTGCCATCCGTCATAATCCTCGTCTCTACGCTGGACTGTAAATCAACATCGAACAACTGTTAGTCCCATGCAATGCCCTTTCTTTACATCAGTTGTAAAAGGAAGTATGAAATTTTTTGATCTTTTCACAGGTCAATTAATAGAAAAAAATAAACCCCAAAACTCAAAACAAGTTTGAGAAATTATATAAATTTTACCTAAGTACCTTTTTTATGGCTAGAAACTGTACTCAGCTGTCTTTGACCGTTGGACTTTTAATAAATGACCTTGACTGATGAAACAGCTGGTCTTAGTAACAAAGCTACACAGGTGATCTCACACCATTCTACACTCACATTTTATTCATATTCAGTTCTAAACTCACCCAAGTGTGCATCAATGTCTCAAAGAATTGATTGATAGATTGTTTTGTGAGTTTTTAGCCGAATCGGGTAAACAGTGGAACCATCAATAGCTGATTTAAATTTTCAGTATATATTCTTCATAGCCTTTCTCCACTCATAGATAGAAATGCCAACACTTTAGGTGTGTTGAACAAATGTCATGTTAGTTTTGTTACCATCATAGATCAGCTGGTTTTTCCCAGGGTAATTTATCAGTTATTGGATGGTCAAGGAACTTTTAGTCCAGTTTGAACAAGCCATCGTAATTCCTTAAAACATTTCTTAAGATTGAACCAGTAAGATTCGTATAAGTGAACTGTTTTATCAGACAAATAAAATATTTAATACGGTTTGCATAGAAATGAACAGTAGATATGTGCTCAACAGATGTTTATTCCCCAATATTGAATCTAGCTGGTAATAACTTTTTTAGCAACAAATATTTTATGAACACAAACAACTATTTCAAGCGGTGTTAATACTGTGATTGTCATTATGTTTCGAAATAGCTTGTCACTCAACGAACCCAATGATGCAAACAATGAATACCGTTTCATACGTTGGATTGCATAATGCAAAGTTACCAATGTGTTAAGCCACAATCAGTGTCCAACACTCTACTATATGTTTACCTTGATTGCTGTGTTGTGGCTGAACCATTGGAAGGAGCACGTAGGGTATGACTGTACGATGGCCTCCATGAGAACTACTTGGCCAGGAGCTACAGTCTGCGGCTGCAGAGGCTGGATGAATCTTGGAGCTTTCACACCTTCCATCTCCAATAGTTCTTCAGCATCTAGTAGGCAAAATTAAACGTGTGATGGAAGATATTAAAAACGATTTTACCTGTTTGGTTTCCTCTAATTGGTAGTTAACAAGTACTCTTTACCATGCATACTTTTCTTTCATAATGCTTTGTGACTTACAAATTTGTGGATAAATCAAAATGCTTTCAAATTTACAATATAGTTTAACACAATGAATTACAGCTTCATGAATAGTGAAAAACACCCTTTTCTAATCAAAACTACTAAAATGCCAATATATGCTGGAGGACACATCTTAAATATATTTTGAATCTTAATGTGTGTACTAAGTGCGAATGAATAGAACCTTTAATTCTTACACATAATTGAAAATTGAAATAGTAGGAAGCCACTAGCAAAGATTGAACAATCTGTTGTAAATACTCTGAGGTGAAAAACTAAATATCTGTAGGAATAACTACAATGAAATTTAGTTGTTACCTCTAACTTTAGTTACATTTGTACTACAGTCTATATACAATAACTTAATCAGGCAACGCCTAAAAAAAATATTTAAAAAATAAACCGTTGCAAGCATGGCCAGGGGGTATAACAGTAGCTAAGAGTTGACTTGTGAAATGGGCATTAACTGTTCTTGTACTAGAAAAGTACTTGTTTAAAATGCAAGTTTAAATAAAACAAAGAATAAAATCGCTGACTACTGACCTGCCACCCCAACTGAGCCGGAAGTACGAGCCTCTCCGGCCGGATTCATCGCTCGCACTTCATATTTCCCAGTTACTTTCTTGTTGATGTCCCTCAAGGTAAGAGTGGTGACACCAGGCTGTTTCGTCATGTCTCCGGTGGGAACAATCTCCTTGCCATTCCGGAACCAGCTGACTTCCGGAGTGGGAGTCCCGGTGAACTCTACCTCCAGGACCACTGATGACCCCTTCGGCACCACCAGTGCTTGCAGAGGCTTGGTTATCTTGGGTGCTTCCATCACTGCTGGCTTAGAGACCAGCTTAGCTTCACCTTTAACAGGTTTCATTCAATCTTTCAGTTATTTATTTACTAATTAATTAAATAAATTTTTATAGGTAATAAGGAGGATAAAATTATGTTTCTATTATTAACATCATAGACGTAGTTTCACTCCACTTGGTATGTAAAGAGTGATTTATATATTTTGTAAATATTATCACCTATTGTGTGTAATAATAATCAAATTTTGTATTAAATAGTATTTCTTAAAATCAACACAATTTAAGTGGTCGCACAGTAACCAATACTTAAAATTACGATAATTTGTCTATTTTGTGTTTTCCAAAGTCATTTGCATTTTATTTTTATCACTCTTCATTTTGTAGATCTTAACACAACAAATTCAATTTATTGTAGATTTATTTCCATTCGGCCTAATAACTATCTCAAACAAACATAATATTTGAAAAGTAAATGTTGTATTATTCTTTTTGCCTCAGAACTTTATCATATTTAAATGCACAATTTGCTCACAGGCCTCTCGTCATTAATAGATAGCTCAGTGGCAAACAGCATATGGGATCCTAAACAATAACTATAATAAAAACAAAGCAATTATAATAAAATAGTTTGTGGTTGTTTGTGACAGTTTTGTTGATAATAAATACTTGTTCTGAATGATCAATGGCTATGATCATTATGAGATCAAATGGGAATTTAGGAGCTCCTTCCCATGAGAACGCAACATTATTTACTTTGCTGTCATGACTTTGTGTCAGGGTTTTGAAGGCATTAAATAAATCCCATCAGCTGAAATATTAACTTGGTGAGCAACAGCCTGTGCCTAGCTGGACTTTGTCCACTCCTATTCCCCACCCCCTGCCAGACAGGAAATTTGCATCCTGACATGTCACAGTTACAACTATGAGCAAATCTGACCTCTTCTACAAGGCAACTCCATGCAGTGAGGATGTTTTAAAGTATAACAGTATAGTTTAGCCATTTTGAAGAGTTTGCAGTTAGAAGATCAGTGTCCAGCCTTGTGAACATCAACCTTTTCCCTTGTGTCCATTCCTTTTGGATTTATTTGGCAGAGGTAAGATTAGTCAATGATCAATTTTGTAAATAATTTGAACCCAATTTTAATCCATTTATGATATAAATACATTTTAATTTAATATTTTCTGGTTCTTGATTTGGAACTAATGGCCAGACATGCAAACTGAGAATTTGGAATATTTCAGAGTAAATCATTATTATTTAATAAGTAAGATACTTTGTCAATTTGTTAGTCATATAGTTTTAGTCAGTTTTAAAGAATCATAAATATGACATTTTCATGGTTAGTTAGTATGATTGGAATTTTACAATTTTGTAATATAGTGCAAAGTAAAACTTGTCTAGAGGAAAAAACATGAAAATTGCTGACCATGTGCTTTCTAATTTTAACTTGCTAATTTACCTGAGAATTTAATTAATTGTGATAGTAATGCTGTTCTGTATCCCAATGTAAGTTTTAAATATTTGTTTCCTTTGTATAAATTAATTGTTTTGTGTAAATATGAGTCAGATAGGGTAAAGTATTAATGATTTTGATGATTAACTAATGACACTAAATGTAGGCTAGTAATTATTATGTTTAAAGATGATTTACATGCTTATTGAAGATTCCAAAATATTAAAATATTATGTAATGTTTGATTTACTGTAAAAATTCAGGTGTCCAAAGGTTGTGTAGGCTAAAGTCAATGAATTTATTTAAATGTTAGTTA